TCACTCCCCTTTTAGGTCCCTGTAAACAGCAAAGGCTTCACAGTCAAATAAACACATTTCCTGTTTTCAAGACTTGAAAATTGTTCATTATAGAACCTGACTAATATTATAATATATTATTTAAACATCTGTATGATAAAATTGTAGGCTATCTAATTTGATAACGTGAAACTTTGATGTAGACTATGGAGGGTCTCCATGACTAACAAGAAAAGGTGTTGAGACCTTTTCAGTATAGGCAGCTTCAGTGCAGACTCACTGTTTGAGGATTTAACGACCCACTCTCACTCACACTCAGTGGTTTTGTGTGGCTGACACTACACTCTCACTCCACACACATAGAAAGAGGAAGAAGGAAGTGTGGTGTCAGGCTGCTGTGATGTCATTCTTAATGCGTGACTGTAAATCACCTGCAAGCAGAAGATGCCACACACACACACACACACACACACACACAATAAATAGTGATTTATTCACAATAATGAAATCAATCAATGACCACAACATTACAGCCTTGCTGATTTTAATGGTTGTGTAGCTTAGCATTAGCCACATCAGTCAAACCATTAGTCGGACTGCTAAAAGAACAAACATATTTTTTTAAAATAACACTCATCCTCCTTTATTGTTAACATATAGGCCTACTTCCTTCATTCCCCACAATATACCTTGGCTTTTGACAGGTCAGACAGATTAAGGTGTGGGTCTCAAAAGACCCTTCATCTTCACGAGTTCTGACTGAAACAAAGACGAGAGACCACAGATCTCCTATTTCACATTTTCTGCACTCATCTTCCTCATCCTCTTCTTCTACCTCTTCTTCTGTGGTGGAGGTTTGTTTATGAATAGAAAAAAGTATTTTCACAACACTTTTTTTTTGCCTTTTCTTACTGTTTGTTTATTGTATGATCGTTATTTGTGATAGCCTATAAGTTTATTGTTTATGTCCTGTTAGTGTTGTTTTTTTGTGTGTTATTCCATGGCGAGGATGTTCCTCTGAGACGCACCTGTGCACAGACACCACACAGCAAGACACGCAGAGGCTGACAGCGGTGAGAAGGGCTCACCCCCATAGGCCCACAGGCGGAGCGGCCGGTTCTGTATGCGGAGGCTCCACGGCTGACACACAGCCAACTGCTGCGATGTTTGACACAGGAATTGAAAATAAATGTGTGGTGAGTGCAGATAAGGAAAGTGGTGGTATAAAAATGGGGAGAACTGAATGGGTTGAGACTAGTACAGCTGGTCAAGTGGAGTCTGGCGCAACAGAACAGTTGAAGGCTACAGAACAGGTGGAGGGTGGTGAAGCAGTACAGGTTGAGGCTGTTGATAAGGAGCGGGAGCTGCAGTTTGGTGCTGGGCAGCAGCCAGAGCTGGTACAGGCTCAGATAACAGTCAGGTGACTAAAGACTAAAGTTTACAGGACTTGCACCTTTTTCTTACCTGTCACCGATGCCTGGAGGACTCTGAGCTTCACTTGACCACCTGACCCGAGGCCTTTGATGTGGATGTTTTCTGGAGCCACTGTTTGATAATGATTTCCTCTCTGACACCACCTTCTCTTTAGCCATCTTACAAGGATTTCCATTGAGAGACTGGCAGAAGTGACAGGTGTACGGTCAACCAGAATGCTACGGAACCTGTTAGATGGAGTGTGGCAGTCTCTGTCAGCGCCTCTCCGGGTTTTCGCTCAGAGAAGGTCTGGCGGACCGGTGGAGTGAGGGACATGAATATGTCTTCGCTTCCCTTAATGTGAGTCCAGAGGTGCAGGAGTGGAGAGAGGAGAGCGACCAACTATTATCCCTAAAGACTCTGAAGGTACTGAACCGTCTTCTTTTTTCTTTTTTTACAGAAGTAAGAGAGTCAAGATGGATAGAGGTTTTTGGCCCTTACTTTTACCCTGATGGCAGCTGGCGGGTCCTGTTTAACCATCCTGTTGAGAAATGGATGGCTGACATCCAATGGAGGGTTATACATGGAGCAATAGCTACAAACAGACACAGAGCTCACTTTGATCCAGGCACTGGGGAGGGTTGTCCTTTCTGTTCACCGCCAGAGACCTAAGACCACTTAGTGGTGTCCTGCCCCCGTTTGGTTGATCTATTTAAAATGCTGCAGGAGTGGGTGGGGGTTTGGGAGAGGTTTTCTCTGTTCCCCTCTTTGTCTTTGGACCAAAATATACTCCCAAGAAATGCAAACTACATTTCATTTTTGCAAGTGCCAAGCTGGCATTCTGGAAATGTAGAAAAAAAAAAACAGCTTGGAGTAGGCTGGGTGGACCCATTTGTGAAATTGTTCTTGCATCATTATTTTGAAATAGGTATTTAAGGATTTCATAGAATGTTTCATAAGTAAAGTTAGTTGGAAAATGTAAAAGCTGTCAGACTGAACTGAACAATAAATGAATGTTAGAGATGTTTGACTGAGAGTTAATGTTAGTGATGTTTGACCGAGAGTTAATGTTTGAGATGTTTGACTGAGAGTTTCGGCAGGGTTACTACAGGGCAAATACACTGGGGGGCGGGGGGGCTAATTAACTCCACGCTCTGCGTCTATGCAGCAAACTGAAATGCTGATTCAGTAAACAGCCTGGAAGGGAGGCATGCAGTAAGAGAGCGCGAGAGGCAGAGAAAGAGTATCTAGCAAAGTGATGGATGGAACGCTCAGAGGGACAAAAAGTATTAAATGATGGAAAGAGAAAACTAATCCAAATATCAGAAAAACATGCTTCATAAAATAGTTTTTGATTTGAATAAACTGAGGAGATCATTGGATTCAATTAAACAATGACATCAGATTACCTACAGCCAGTGTTTAATCTGAGCACTCTGTGCATGTTATAAAGAGAAGACCGCCATCTAGAGGTCAAACAGGGGAATGGACCAACACTGAGACTACTGCAGAGCAGCAAAGAAACCACGTCAGTGTGTTTTTACACAAGAAGAAGAAGGAGAACTCAATGTGTGTGTTTTATGCGTGTGTGTTTACACAGGGATCCTCTAAAAAGTGCAGACAATGTTTAAAGATTCAACACGATGTTCACAGAGTTCAACTGGTCATATTAACACATTTCTTTTTTTCTGTGTTGTTGAAATTATTTTGAGGAGTACTTTTTACAAGATCTTTATTAGATTTTAGTCAGATCTTTTTTGGATTTTTATTATATCTTTATTAGATATTTGTATTAGATGTATATTTGAAATGTATTAGGTCTTAATTGGAATTTAATTAGATTTGTAATAGATCTTTATCAGTTCTCAATGGGATCTTTAAAAGATCTTTATTTATTTTTTACATCTCTATTACATCAAACAGCTGAAGAGAGATTTTATAGAATTATCTCAAACTAAATAAAGTGGTTTAGTTAAAAACTGATCAGACAACAGTTCAACTTATTGTTTTGGTGTGTTTGATGATGTGATCGTCTGCATTTATTGATTACATTAAATGAACATTAGAATCAGAACTTTTTTCTTCCGTCTTTTTTATTAATTAGTGTCTTTTATGCCCCCACTTTAAAAGCCAACAGAACTGTTTCAGAAAGTAAACAGAGTTACAGCTGTTATGGTACAGACACGTGATGTAAAGATAGAGAGCTGAGATTTAAGGCAGAAAGGAGATACAGGTAGACTCCAACACACCCACTTGAATTCAGTGTTTGTGTGTAACCATGATCACACAGCAGAAAAAGTTCACCTCGTACCTTAAAAGCAGGTTCACTGACTCTCACAAGCTCATCAGAGTTTAAATAAAGTTTCATTTGAAGTCCATCCAGCAGAGAGCACACATGTTCAGTCTTCTTCCTCTTTGTCAGCCGTGTCCGTTCAGTGTAATCTGAGTCTCAGCGGTCTGATCAGCCCCTTCTTTTCTCTGCAGGAAACCCCACGACCTCAGCAGAGCAAACCGCTCAGAGGGAGGACAGGAAAAGTAGTCCCTCTGTCTCTGAGAGTATGTTTCAACCGGCGGGACGATGTCTCTGTAACTCCAGTCCTGAAGACACACAAGACTCTGATTACTTTGATTTATCTTGATTTGAATGCAAACATGCAGTCAGATTAACTTCAGGGAAATTTAGTATCACAAACAAGAAGCAGGTTAGATGAGAAGTTTTTGTGTCTTCATCGGGTGATAAGACACAGGAAAGTTGTAACCTTGTGAAAACTGTGTAAGGGGCGTGTAAAGACACACAGAAGTTAAGGGAAACTGTTTGGTGGAGAAGAGGCGTCTCGTGAATGTGATGTCTGTGAGCAACAGAGAGAACTTAGTGCCACACGTGTCAGAGAAGCAGCCAGCTTGGCTGACGCACAACGAGCAGCAGATTCAGAGGAGTGAAACTGATTTTCACAATGGAGCAAAGTGAATGTTGTTAATTTTCAAAATGTTGTTCTTTGATTTGAAGTTGGAATGATTTCAGTTGCTCCAAATATGAGCCGAGCTTCAGCTAATGACAGGTGTGATGATGGTGTGTACCTGCCAGTGGAGGTTGAAGGCCTCCAGCAGCTTGATCCGTCCCTCCCTGCTCGGCACACAGTCTACAGGAAGAGGCTGCAGCATGTCGGAGCCCCCCCTCACATCAGCAAATACCAACAGAGCTCTGATTGCAAACCAGCCCCCAAACCGAGGGTGGACACACACCCCGAACATCTTCTACAACACACACACACACACACACACAGTAATTATTTCATGATGGCTACAAACAGTTTTTAATCTAGGTTTTAAATAGTTCATAAAAGTGAATTATTTATTACTCTGTCTGTCCACGGCGGCTCTATAATATCACTCTGCTGGTAGTAAAACGCTCCTCCGGACACATGGGCCGCTGTCTGAGCCAGAAAACGAGGCCTCCTGCTGGGCATCAGCTCATAGTCATAAATCACCTCCACCTGCTGCCCCGGAAAACACTGAAGACAGAGAGAGACAAGTCACAGTTAAATATGAAGTCATCAGTTTGTACTGCGATGTCATACGGTAAACCAGTCAGAAATGAATCCTCTCTGTCTATTTATGTTTAACAATACGTAACATATGATAACATAATCACAAACATGAACAGACATACAATGTCTCACACACAGCAGAGGACACACCCTGTCTCACATACTGACCTGAAACACAGCAGACGACACAGTCTGTCTAACACATTGATCGATAGGGTCAGACACACCCTGAAAGGCCTGTCCCTCCAGGAAGGGCAGGAAGGCTTTTTCAAACATGGAAGGAGTGCTGAAGACAACAACAGCCAAAGTGTCATCTGGATATGACAGAGCCAGGGAGGGGGGCAGGACGGCATTATACCAGCCAACCTAAGATGCAGACAGGTAGAGAGAGAGAGAGAGTTTATATGAGTCAACCTGAGAGGGAGACAGGTAGAGAGAAAGACAGTGTTATACCAGTCAACTTTAGAGAGAGAGAGAGAGACAGACAGGTAGAGAGAGCGAGAGAGAGTTATACCAGACCACCTAAGAGACAGACTAGTAGAGAGAAAGAGTTATCAGTGTTTCCCCTAGGTTTACAGCGTTGGGGGGGTGGAGACAAGCCGACACAAACACTTGAAGGAATCTTGGTGTTCATGTGTTACTTTTAATGACAGAGGTCCATTTCTATAGGAAAGGTATCCTTAAATGACTTCTTTCCCTGATTTCCGACTCTATCCACTATCCTATCTCTACGATAAAGGCACAAACAGCCCCAAAAAATAAAAAATAAAAAATAAAAATAAAAAAATATATTTTTTTACTTGACCTTCAGGGGGGGCGCCCCCCCAATATAATGGTAGGGGAAACACTGGTTATACCAGCTGACTGGAGAGAGAGAAAGACAGGTAGAGAGAGAGAGAGATTATACCAGCTGACTGGAGAGAGAGACAGACAGATAGAGAGAGAGAGATAGTTATACCAGCTGACTGGAGAGAGAGACAGACAGATAGAGAGAGAGAGAGAGATTATACCAGCTGACTGGAGAGAGAGACAGACAGGTAGAGAGAGAGAGATAGTTATACCAGCTGACTGGAGAGAGAGACAGACAGGTAGAGAGAGAGAGATAGTTATACCAGCTGACTGGAGAGGCAGATATGTAGAGAGATAGACAGCAGTCATCAGGACAATCGTTTCACTTAGACTTAAAACACTGTAGTGCATATCGCAGTTTCCACATTTATCTTGTCTGAAATAGTTTACATGGTGACGTCATAAAATAATATATTATCTGAAATACTTTACATGACTCTTACTTTTTCTTTAACGTGCTGTTCATTCAGCAGGTGACTGTGTTCAAGTGTGATTTATTTAAAGAACATACACAGCATTAATTATAACCAAAACACAGCATGAACTTTAACATTAACCCTAACCCACACACAGCATTAAATATGACTAAAGATAACCCACACACAGCATTAAATATGACTAAAGATAACCCACACACAGCATTAAATATGACTAAAGATAACCCACACACAGCATTGAATATGACTAAAGATAACCCACACACAGTATTGAATATGACTAAAGATAACCCACACACAGCATTGAATATGACTAAAGATAACCCACACACAGCATTGAATATGTCTAAAGATAACCCACACACAGCATTGAATATGTCTAAAGATAACCCACACACAGCATTAAAGAAAACGCGCAGACACCTTGAGAGGATGAACCTCAAAGCCGAGTCCGGATAAACTCTCCTCCAGAGCTCCGGTTATTTTTTCCACACTGTCTGAGGACGCCGCCATTGCTGCTCGCAAACACAAAGCGATGGATTGTGGGAAATGTTGTTCTTTGGACTGTTTAGATTTTATAGTTTCCACTGTTTGTTCTCCTTATTAAACAAACAGCCTAGACTTAAGTGAAATAGATCTTAATTCTCTACAAGTTTATTTCATGGTTAAATAAAGGTTAAATAATAAATACATATCTACACCAAGAGGACAAAAGACAAAGTCCTCCAAGTTTGGATAAATAACATAAAACGAATGTAGATCAATAGTACATTACATAAAAATAGATAATATAGCACACCGTGATAAAGAGCGCAATAAACATAGACTGTCAATAACCCTCATTACTTAATAACTACATTACCCAGAAGACGTCTGCGGCGGCGTCTTTACGTCATCACGTTGCTGTTACGGGCTCCTTGATTCAAAAGTGGAGTCGTCAGGTTTTCAGTGAGTATCCTGATTAGCAGCTAACCTTAATGATGTTTTTCTTCACTTTAAATGGATTTTAGTCTTTTTTTTTTTTAAAGTTTGATGTTTATTTTATTTAGTAACAATTCATCTCACACATACATATATTAAAGTTATAAACCTCCAGGAACGTAAAGGTTATAAACACCGAGAGAAACACGTTACCGGACCGCTGCTGCTATCTGCCTTTAGCTTGTTAACAACATTAAGGTGTTTAACGTTAGCCCCGCCCCCTTCACGTTATACAGTACACAGTAGAATACGTGTATTCACAGGTGGTATGAGCATGAGTTCAGGCATCCCACCCTGATGATCAGCTGATGTTTAAATCCTCTACTTGTAATTTTATCTGCTCAGTGACACAGACTGCAACCTCACACACCGGTACAGATACTGATGCACCTGTCTGAGGTAACACCTCTGTCAGGTATTCTGTGACACTCTGTCAGCACACACACACACACACACACACACACTTCCATTATAAGTAAATACACACACACACACACTGTGTTTGTGTTAGTTTCCTGAGTCATGAGCTGGGACCGACAGGTGAGCTCCCTCCTCTCTGTGACTGATGGCAGCGTGGCGAAGATGAGGGTAAGTACCATCAAAACATCTTCATCATATTTAACATGAATATAACTCAGTGGGTCTCACAGTTGACATTACCTGTGTACTAGTGCTGTCGGTACTGCAGCTGCCTGAAGGTGTCACTAACACCTAACTAATGTTAAATGTATATAACCGTATTAACAGTAAAAAGATGATCAGTGACTTTTTTTGTCTTTTTTTGTTAGGAGAGACTGGGATCAGGAGGGGAAGGTGGGTCAACTGTGCATGTGTGTGCATGTCTGTGTGTCTTTGTGTGTGTGTGTTAAATCAGTCTGATTTGATTGATCCTCCTCTTCCTCGTCAGATTTGTTTCCTTCAAAGGAGACGATTATTGATTCTGATCCGGACCCCCCCATTCCTCCTTCTCGCTGCCAGCTCCAAAGAGAGCGCCCCCTATCTGACAGCATTCAGTGGTCAGACCTGGCTGCTCTACAGTCCCAACTACGGATACAGAGACAGGTGTGTTCAGAGAGCACTGTGTTCATAGATAGGTGAGTACATAACAGTTGTGTACAGAGACAGGTATGTTTAAGTGGTGAGTGGTGAACCAGTATCAACAATGTCACTGGTATTCCATGAAAGCGCAGCTTGGATTTGTATCTCCATTACAACAGGTCTACCTGATTCATGTTGAAATGAGCAGTTGTAAACACTGTAATTCCCTATGGTGTCGTTGAAAATCTCTCCTAATTATGGCTCCTCTAATTTGCTGATAAAAACATTCTATTTCCTAAAAATTCTTCACAAAAATGCCCCCTGTTATTATGATGTTGAAACACTTCTATTGTGAAAGAGTCTTCTTTTTCTTAAGAACATGTTCTTTCAGCTTAACACATCTCTGCAGGAGAGAAACAAGACTTAAAATCACATAGATTCAGTAATAAGCTACAACACACACAACAGCACAGTGACTTATAAAAACATCTTTCTCTGGTCTTAAGCACAGAAATGATTCTAGTCAAACAAGCTTCTTTGTTGGGAAGAATGAGGGTCGTAGTGTGAATATATGTTCATATGTGCAATCCCCTTTAGTACTGTAACACCGTAATGTAATATCATTACTGCAAAAAACAGCATACTGTGATATGAATCCCAGGACATATCGCCCACCACTAATGTGTGTGCAGAGACAGGTGTGTGTGTTATAGTGATGTCATCACTGAGAGAATGTTTCATGTCTTTTAGGAGATTCAGTCTCTGACGCAGAGAGTCATCACCATGGAAACGGAGAGATACAGTCAACGCAGCCTTATTCAGAAACTACAGGGTAACCTGCTGCTGACATCACAGCTACACAACTTCACACTGACAACAAGCTCATCACATACACTGTATTTGAGAAGTGGGCAGGGCTACAGCATGGTCACCCATTGGTTTGTAGAGTTCTCTTTAAAATACTGTAGTCTATTTAGTTCACAGTTAGAAATTACACTCTCTCTGTCCTAGTTGACAGGTAACCATGTCAGTGACTTGTCCTTCACAGGCAGCCCTGCCCTTACTCCTCCCCTCTTTCTGGTTTATTGACTCTGAATGGGACTATAATTTACTAAATGAACATTTTTATTTTTTGATCAGAAGTGAACATCTATGTCTCTGTCTGTCTCTCTCAGAGGAGGTGCAGAGGCTGGGGAACAGGAGGGGGGAGGAGTGGAGGACGGAGGTGGTATGTGAGCTCAGCAGTCTGCGGGGACAACTCACAGGAGCCACATTTCTGGGCAACCTGGAGGACAGGTGCATTATGGGTGTAGCTGTGGGGTGGGGTGGGTGTGTCTTTATAGAAAAGGCCTTATGAAAGTGTTCTTGTGTTTCTTTAGTTTGAGCTCAAAGCTCCAACACCAGAGGAGAGACATAGACCTGGTGAAAACACAGCTGAGTGAGTGTCTCTCTCTCTCTCTCTCACACGCACATACACACATACACACTCACACATAACAGACACCTCTCCCCTGTTACCCCTCTGTTACAGTCTCTGAAGACAGCACAGAGAGAGGTCACTTAATCCCCCCATTTGTCCTCTAATAGGGCTTTCACACTTGCAGAAAACTCCTGAAAAATTCCTGATATTTCCAGGACGAGCTGCTTGTTCAAATAAACAGCCAAAACTTTCACTCGGACTTTATCTGGAGTTTCTCCTGCCAGCCCCAAGTGAGCCGATGTGAGAACGCAGCAGGATATTATCCGGAGAATTCACCTGAGCCTGTATCAGAATCAGAATCGGGTTTTATTGCCAAGTACATTTACACATACAAGGAATTTGACTTGGTGTATTAGTGCTAAACAATTAACAAGGAAATAACGCAGAACTGACAGTCTGAAAAGGGTCAGTGTGTGTTCTGTGGTCTAACAGGGGTGCAGGAGGAGGAGCTTCTCCACCTGCAGAAGGAGACCAGAGAGAGCAGGAGGCAGGGACAACACACCTGCAGGGTAAATACACACAGTAACACACACACAATATAATACACACACTGTATATTATACAGTGTATGTTATGTTAAACAGTGGGTAACACACACCCACACACTGTATAATAAACTCACATTGTAACATTGTTTCAGCACTAGATAATAAAAAAAACACTGTGCAGCACTGTTTGTAGATTTGCCCAAGGCATTTGTCACAGTTGACCTCTTTTTGCTTTTGTAAAAACTCGATTATTTAGGCTTTGATAGCAATAGTTTAAAGTGGTTTCATACCTCTCTGATAGGTTCCAGTGTGTCAAGATAGGTGATGTCAAGTCCTCTTTTCTCAACATCACAAAGGGAGTTCCCCAAGGTTCAGTGCTTGGTTCAATGTTGTTCACCATTTATATAAATGAGATGACCACTTCATTACACATCTGCAATCCCCATCTTTATGCAGACGACACAGTCCTTTTTACATCCTCAAATATCATTCATGATGCAACTGAAAATCTGCAGAAAGCTTTTAACCTTTTTCAAAAATCATCTGCACAGCCTGAAACTGGTCCTGAATTGTGCAAAGACTAAATGGATTATATTTTCAAATGCAAGGCATTCTGATATAGCAGTGTTCAAATTCCTTCTTGTAATAATATACTAATCGAGAGAGTGCAATATAAATATCTTGGTATCTGGATAAATGAAAAACATACTTTTAAAACACACATTGAAAATCTCTTACCTAAACTTAGACAACATCTGAGCTTTATTTTAAGAAATACATCTTGCTCCCCTTCATTTACTAGGAAAATAATTATTGAGGCAGTTTTCTTTTCTGTTCTTGATTATGAGGATCTTATTTATGGACGTGCAGCTAGCACTACTTTAAAACCTTTGGAGGCAGTGTATCACTCTGCACTCATTTTTTTCTGGAGACATCAATGGGACACATCATTGTCTTCTGTAACTGGCCTGCCTGCTCTTACTATTAGAAGAGACATTTATTTATTTATTTATTTATAAAGCCCTTTTAAATAAGCTTCGTGCGTATCTTTCATCTATGCTTTGTTTTAACGAGGGTAGCCACGGTACACGGTCGCAGTCATGGCTCACCCTGCAGGTTCCTAGAATCCACTCAGAGTTAGGAAGGTCTGCTTTTAGTTACTACGCACCAAACACTTTGCTTCAAAGACATTTTAAGATAAACACATTATTAATACTGTGACAATTCCGAGTTTTAATTTCTGATCTTATTGATTTGAACTGTTTTTGCTTTTAACATTTTAATTGTTCTTACTTATTATTTTTACTCTATTTCATTGTACTTTCTTGCCTTTTAACTAAATGTACTTCCTGTTTTATTCTTGCTGTTCTCTTGCTTTATCTGCATCTGGCCTCTATGTACCTCGCTACATTGCAAATGAGGGTTCTCCCTCAATGTGTTTTCCAAGGATTTAAATAAATGAATGATGACATTGTTCAACACATTGATAAATACATACCAGTAAAACACACACGTTGTAACTTACTGAATGTGTGTTCATCTCTCTCCTCTTGTGTTCTTTTTTTGTCACTGTGTGGTTCATGTATGTGTTGTGTGTGTACTTTGTGTTTGTGTTTGTTCAGACTGTGGAGCAGATGACTGAAAGCTTCAGGTCTCACAGCTGTGATATGACAAAGACTCTTTCTGACACACAACGAGAGGTCCAACAGATCAGGTGTGTGTGCGTGTGCGTGTGCGTGTGCGTGTGCGTGTGTGTGTGTAAACCAAACGCATTAATCAATCCATTCAAACAGGTCAACTGTGTCACAGCTGAAGGAGGAGATCAGGACTCTCAGAGAACCTCTGCTGTCAGCACACACACCAGGTGAGACACACACCAGGTGAGACTCACTCACTCACTCACACACACACACAGTAGAGTGTAATTGTTGTGTTGTGCTTCAGGGGCGTCCCCGCTCCTCTCTCTCCCTCGCAGAGGACTCAGACCTGAGGTGGACTCAGACATGGACTCGGACGACTTAAGTCTGACGGCGAGTCTTGATGAGGTGAGCTCAGATGACCTGTCCTGGACTGACCACAGAGACCCTACAGGTACACACACACACACACACACACACACACACACACACACACACACACACACACACACACACACACACACACACACACACACACACACACACACACACACACACACACACACACACACACACACACACACACACACGTCAAGTTTTTTTGTATAGCACGTTTTAAACAGCCTCAGCTGACCAATGTGCTTTATGGAATCAGCATCATTAAACAGATAACAAACATATTGAAATCATGGAGATCACAGTAAAACATACTAACTTTTAATACAATACACAAAACACATTTTATAAATGAAGTATTGTTTTAGCTCATTTCAAAGGCCAGGGGAAAAAGGTGGGTTTTGAGCTGTGCTTTGAATGAATGTAGTGAGTTAGCGCCTCTGATGAGGGGAACCATTTGATTCCACAAACAGGAGCCTGCAACTGAAAAGCTACAGTCATCCCTGAGTTTCTGCTGAGTCAGAGGGACGACCGGGAGAGACTTCTCATAGGACCTGAGTGATTGTCCTGGGGGCGGGGTAGGGGATGAAAAGTTCTGATTAATAGGAGGGTTCTAAACATGGAGTGACTTAAAAACAAGTAATTTAAAAATAAACTTTTAAAATGAATTCTAAAATCAACAGGGAGTACCTGTTAAAAATCTGGCAGCAGCGCTCACACACACACACACACACACACACACACACACACACACACACACACACACACACACACACACACACACACACACACACACACACACACACAGTGGTTGCTATGGAGGTATGAGAATGTTTTGTCCTCCTCTATCAGATCTTCATCGCAAACACCTGAGGGATCAGTCTGGACCCTCACACCGGTCCATTGCAGATCCACACCTGCAGGATGAGAAGGAAGATGACGATAACGATGAAGATAACGATAACGATGATGATGACAATGATGACAACATAGTGAACCTTGATGTGGTATCTGACCTGAGTCTGAATGATCTTTGACCTATATTTCAGACTTTTTGTGTTAATTGATCACACCAGGGGCCCATTTCTGAAAGAAGGTTCAACAAACCCTCAGTCTAACCCTGAGCTCTGAGTTGATTTACCCTCAGATGGGAAACTCTGAGTTTTCAGTTCCAGATCAGCAGATTTCAATTTGTTAAATCAACTCTGAGTAGGTCCACTCGGTGTTCAGCGCTTGCACCACAATGATAAAAAGCCAACATGAATGGAGCCCTGATTCTACGATTCACCATGGCAACAGGTGACAAAAAAGAGATCCTCCTACTTCAACCATTTCGAAATATAGCCTATCTTCATGCGGACATACTGCGAATATGAACAGGTTTTAAGAAGGAAAAAAGGAACGATGTTGCAGCGGCAAATGAGAGAAAAGTGGTGTAAGAGAAAACAGCTGCTCGCGTCAGCACGTAATGAAGTCTGTTCATGTAATATTTAATCAGAATTATAATATTGCAGGTCAAAACTGGTGGAATTGTATTAAACCTACAATTTATTTTCATTAAGATGCAATCCAGCAGAAGAAAATGACTCTAAAACGGCTCAAAATTAAATATAAGAACATAATAGGCTCATATAGATTTAAAGTTAACTTCATTCAGAGTCTATTTGAATGTGCATTAACTTTATCCCCAACATAGGCTAATCCCTGTATTCACACCTATGATTCACACACATAGCCTAGGCTAAATATCCTCTCACCTTTATCCCGTTTAGTTTATTCATTAATTAGGCCTAATTTAACATCTCCTGACGTAAATGTAGGTTCTAGGGTGGAGACCGAGAGAAACTCTGGGTTCACTGAAGAAAACCTGGTCCCGACCTGGTTAGGTTCACAGACTCAGTTACCATAGTAACTGACTCAGAGGTAAAGCTATCTCTCCCTCTAGAACGGGCTGGAGTTACCCCTCTTTCTCGGGTTTGAGTGACCTCCCCTTCTGAAACGGATAACCATTTCCCTCATTTCAGGGTTAAGGGACTCAGAGTTTTCACAAAACCGTCTTTCAGAAACGGGTCCCTAATGGCTGCAGAACAGACCTGTTGTTGTTATTGCTCCACTGTGTTTTACAGTCGCTGGTCGCATCATATGACTCATGTAATGTTTCAAAGTTGTTACCTTAAAAATATTATATCCTGTATTAAAGCAGATCCTCTCGAGATCTCTGAAGATTTCAGATTTTAGCTGAGGCTAAGAGGGAGAAAATGACTGCATAAAGTGTTAAAAATGTGAGTAAAGGTTTGTTCTTCAGTTCAAGACGGAGAGAGATAGAAAGAGGGGGACATTGAATTAAAGAGGTGAAGAGACAAAATTCTGTTTCCTTCATGGTCCTCCCTCCTTCACTAGGATAAAAAGCAAGATAGATACATAGATTTGTATTTAATATGGACATCACAATTACATTGTACAAACGAGATGCATTGTTTGCATGTTTTAGCACACATGCATCCTCAACACTTGTTCACAGGCCTTAAAGAGGTATTGATCCATCAATCTGTGGGTGTGGCTGTGTTATTCCTCAGGCTGTTCTATGTATGTGATATATCTCATAGCCACATGGGGGTGCTGTTAATCTATCAATGGTCCTGTGTGCAGAAGTAAAATTTAAAGGTCTGCAATGGTTCTTGTTCCTGGTGGTTATTTTACAGCTCATGCTCAAACTTGAAACTCATCTTTTGAAGAATAAAAAAATATGTTTGATGTAGCGTTCTGCTGTGAGTCTATATTCAAACACAGTGTGTTTTGTTTGAGGTTTAGAATCAGACTGTTGTTGGTTTCCTTCATTGTTAAAAATATTATAACTCTTGTGTTACAGCACTAACGTCTGATTCCTGTGAGAGCTCAGCCTTACACAACCTGCATGTTCAGTCAGTGTCTCCTTTTACATACAAGTAAAGCAAATAATAAACTATACGAGATCATTATGATAATAACATGATTAAATATATTATTATAAGTTATTAAGAGATTTGTACTGGGCACTTTTAAAAGGACATGTGACCAAGCGATGAGTCTTCATCTTAATCAGCTTCATCATCTTAATCAGTGTCATCATCATCATCATCATCAGTGCTGCAGCTTCATCATGTCAGAATCACATTTAATTGGACAGAGGGAGAAATTATTCAAGTGTTATTAATGTGAGAGAGAGCCAAAGTAAAACCACATTATGCAACAGCAGTTATTTGACCTAATGATAGAGCTTTTAGGACCTTAGACTGTAAATAGAAATTATTGTAGAGACTAATAATAAACTTATTATAATGATCTCATGAAAACTTAATAAGCGAGTTGTCTTGTTTAGCTGCTTGTCTTGTGGTTATATCAAATTAAATGTCAGGTCATATTTATAATGTTAAAAATTGGGTGGAAGTTGACAAGTTGGTTGGCCAATGTTTTTTTTTCCCCATAGAGCTTGAACGCAGCATCAGCTCGGTGACGGGTCTCCGAGCATCGTCAGACCGTCAGACCGCCGCCGACTGAAAGGTTGGAAATGTCGATGCTCTAGCCCACATCCTGATTAAACGCAGGCCCGCTATCAGTTAGTAATATTTTAACTTAGAGTACACGATGTTTTAATGAATATTTCCGCCTCGTTTGGCTACAGTCGGTGCTAGAACAGCCTTACATGTTCTGCACCGTTAGCTCGTTAGCCGTTAGCATTGAGGCGCTAGCTGATGCTACAGTGTTTTCTAATAGCAGGTTAGCGTCCGTTAGCCAATGTTAGCCTCCCGGTTAGCTTGTCGTGTCATGGTTATATTTGTGATGCTCGGTGGCTAACGAACACCGTGCTCCGGTAAAATATCATTATTTTGTAAAACCGTGTCGTGTTTAACGTTACCGGGGGAGGTTTACCGGAGGCTGAACGTGCTGCTCTCTAATCATTTGACAGCTCCGTGTCCGCGGAGACATGGACACACCGGGGAGGACCACACCGGCCGCCCTGGACTTCACCGTGGAAAACGTAGAAAAGGTGTGTGTGTGTGTGTGTTTGGGTTTGTGTGTGTGATCACAGCAGCTATTACAGTGAAGGTAGATCTACATGTTGTGTTTCTATTTGGAGGTGATGTCAGTGTGTGTGCAGACATACATAAAGCTCAAATGTCCGACGTCTTTGAATGAGTCCTGAGTGATGATGTTAGCTCTGGAGAGGCTCTGCTGCGTGTGTGTGTTTGAGTTGCAGGTTGATGAACTCCCTGTTGGGTGCCTCAGTCTCTGAGGATGGGGGATTGGGTGGGGTGCTGGTAGTGTTTTTTTATTTCACAATTCCTTTGTCGATGTAAACACATGTTTCCATGCCACTGAAGCCCTTATGTACATATGCACATGTAAATGATAATATTCTCAGAATGTAAATATAAATGGACAGCATCCCTCAGCCTCCTCCCATTAGACAAGATGAAGTCAAAATATGTCCATGATGATGCTGACATGTTTGCGCTGTAAGTATCAGCTGTAAGAGCTGCGATATTGACAGAACAGAAACACAGCTGCCCCTGCTAGCTGGCTGTGGTGTAGGTTGTAAGCTCCGCCTCTTCCATGTAAACAGATGGGACATGAGTCAAACTCAAAAATCTAAATGTGCGTGCGTGATAAGACTGACTCAGCCTGCCCGTTCAGAGTGTGATATTTACGTCCCTGTGACGTCCCTCTTTCACTCTGAATGTCATGGAGAAGTAATGGGGGCCGAAGTGACCGACGTTGACTGGGACACCAACGTTACACCGTAAATATATCAATATGGATGTATAAAGACGTGATGAGATAGGTGCTTCTTGAGGGCAGTGTTGTGAAATCACACTCAGAAAAAGGCTTTAGTGTGTTGATGGGGATGATGGTCCCTTGTACTGCCTGTGTTGTGTGGGTGTGCGTCACACAAACAGCTCTTTGTTCAATCTGATAAATAAAAGCAGCACGTTGTCAGTATGTTATGTTAATGTATGTATGTTGTACATCTCTGCTCCACATTATTGCTGACTACCTAACTTAAACTAATAGTTTAAAGGAAACATTAGCTACAGAAGGAGGATTGTTGATCAGCGGATTCAGATGGAGCAGAGGCATCATGACACACGTCCTGTCGCTGTCAGTTACACACAACACACTGATATGAGCTCTGACAGTACAGGTTTGGATGATACTGTGTGCATTTGTGTACAGTGCTGGTCTATATTCCCGGAACTCCTCCTCTGACTTCTCTTCCTGCTCTAACTCCTTCTCCTTCTCCTTCTCCTTCTTTAACTCCTCTTCCTCTTCTGCAGGCTCTCCATCAGCTCTACTATGATCCAAACATAGAAAATAAGAACCTGGCCCAGAAGTGGCTAATGCAGGCTCAGGTCTCTCCTCAGGCATGGCAGTTCTGCTGGGCCCTCCTGAGCCCAGAGAAGGTACACACACACACACACACACACACGTGCGGACACAATCACAAACACATGGGAACACACACACTCTTACACACAATCTCTCACTCATGCTTCATCCCCCAGGTTCCAGAGATCCAGTACTTCGGGGCGAGCGCTCTATATACAAAGATCTCTCGTTATTGGTCGGACATCCCGTCAGATCAGTACGAGTCTCTGAAGACTCAGCTTTTCTCTCAGATCGCCTGCTTCTCCTCTGGCTCCAAGATGGTTCTGACCCGCCTCTGTGTGGCACTCGCCTCTTTGGCGCTCAACACTATGCCAGAGGCGTGGCCAGGAGCCGTGGCAGAGATGGTGCGAGTGTTCCAGGAAGAGGGGGGAGGGGTGGATGGACGGGCTCGCTGCCTCGCTCTCCTGGAGCTGCTCACTGTCCTGCCAGAGGAGTTCCAGACCAGCAGATTGCCGCAGTACAGGAAGGGACAGGTACGTCTGAGCCCGTCCCCAGTAGAGGAAGGGACAAGTATGTCTGACCCTGCCCTAGGTACAGGTAGGTCTAACCCCGCCCCCTGTACATGAACGGACAGGTACGCTGACAGGCTTTAGCGTAGCTCCTACCTGCTAACCAGTTAACAAAACGACAACTCTAGGGCGCAGTGTATCTTAGTGGCGCCATCATGATGATGTCAGAATGAGTAAACTCATTAATCAAATGGATAGTGCACACATTGACTTAATTATTGCTCCCTGCAGGTTCGGGGGGCTCTGGGCAGAGAGTGGGGATCGGTGTGTCCATTGCTGCAGCAGCTGTTGAGGAGGACGGACAGCCCTGGGGCAGTGAAGGCTCGCGTGCTGCGCTGCCTGTCGTCCTGGGTGCTGCTGGATGTCCCCCTGAACGAGAGCGAGGACCTTGTTCATGACTGCTTCAGCGCGCTGCCCGACCCCGAGCTGTTCGACACTGCCGTGGAGGCCATTGTGAACGCTGTGTCTCAGCCCGACTCCCAGAGGTCAGTGCAGATATGCGTATGTACCAGCGTGAGAACCAATATGATCAATATGTGGTGCATGTCTTTACTGGTTTCACTTGTTTATATGGAGAGTGAAGGTGGAGATGAAACTGAACATCGGGAGGGGGGGGTGAAGGGGCATCAGGAGGATGTAGCATGGGCATGATAACAGCGAGGGGGTAGCAGCGTTTGTCGGTTGGCCGCTGTTGCTATGGTAACAGAGCAGGGGAGAGATGTCATCATGTCCTGGTGGATTCAGAATGGCAGGCCCCCATTACACCCCCCCATATAGAGGGGGGAGGGGAGGGAGTAAACCTCTGCTCCCAGTCACACACTGATGTCATGTGGGTAGGGGGAGGAGGAGCAGATCCTCCATAACTACAGCCTCCATCTTTAAACATCTGCAGAAACTGCTGCTTCACCTTCACTTCAACTCTCTCTCTCTCTCTCTCTGTCTCTCTCTCTCTCTGTCTGTCTGTCTGTCTGTCTCTCTCTCTCTCTCTCTCTCTTTTGCTTACCTCTTTGAGGCGATGCTATTGGTTCATTTTCATCTTGTTGCCAGGCAACCTATTTCCCCAGTCTCCCTGTATTGCAGTAATAACCGGTGAGGGGGTTAAAGAGGGAGACAGAGTGTGTTTAATATCAGGAGAGAGGGGGAGTTCCCACACACATGCACCCAAAGAACTGATGTCAAACATTCAGAAATAAAATCTTGAGCTGAGTATAACGTAGACTTCTGATTGGTCAGAGCAGCAGCTGTTTCAGGTGTCTGATCTCAAACTTGTACAGGTGTAAGTCTCTGTGAGGTCCAGGAACCCATGGGGAGCTCAGACTTATTTCAAGTAGTGGTCAGTATTTGTTAAAGAGGGGCTGGATTCATTTTCTGATAACATTAATATGACCAATGGAAGGATGGTTACCTGCTGATTTATTACTCAAAATCATCCCATTAATTCAGTGGATATTTTTTTTACCAATCATTGAGAAGTTTATGATGGCACATGAAAATGAATAGTAATGAATTATATAAACCAAAACAAGTCAGACACATTTTTTTCCCTTAATTACTGCAACAAATAGGGAGTTGCCGATACTGATAATTGACGATATTTTCCATCCCTCAAAAATATGTTACAAAAAAGTGAAAGACTTATGATGTACTAGCTCGCTCCGGTTAATAGTATATAAGATGTGGTAATGATATTAATAAAAACAACTAAAAACAGGTTTTATTCATTAACCTAAAATTGAGTCATTCAAGTAAAAACACTGATGACCAGAACAAGTATTGAGATCAAAACTATTACGACAGCATTTCAAACTAGAATTGGCA